TTAGTAGGGTACGAGCAGTTTCAACCAGATGCCGATTCCTACGTTCGGCCACTCCATTTTGTTGTGGAGTGTGTGGACAAGTGGTCTGGTGTAACGTCCCACGTTTCTCCAAAAAATTAGAAAATTCAAGAGACACATATTCTTTTGCATTATCACTTCGCAAAATTTGAATAGAAGCACCAAATTGAGTATTTATCTCGGCACAAAATTTTTGATAAATTGAAAATAATTCAGAACGATTTTTCATTAAATAAACCCAAGTGCAACGAGAGAAATCATCAATAAAGGTGACAAAATACTGAAAACCCAAAACAGACATTGTTTGGCTCAGACCCCAAATATAAGAAAGAACAATAGAAAAAGGAGCATTAGCTCTTTTATTGACTCTATTAGCAAAGGAGGAGCGAGTGTGCTTTCCTTGCTGACAAGAATGACAGTTTAAAGACTTAAGATTGGATAAAAAAGGAACCATATGCTGAAGCTTGGAGAGGCTTGGATGACCCAGAAGGCTGTGAATTAGCTCAGGACACTCTGTGAGAGAACAAGCTACTGGAGAAGGTGGTGCAATCAGATAGTAGAGACCTCGTGACTCAATGCCCGCTCCAATCGTCTTCCACGTACCCGAATCCTGCATAGAAAAGGATTGTTTAGAGAAGGTAACAGTACATGAAAGAGAATGAATCAACTGGCTAACAGAGATTAAATTAAAAGGAATGCCCAGGTATATAATAAACAGAACTCAAAGTTAAAAGGGGAGTTGGGTTGGCTTCTCCAATTCCACGAGCAAGAGCCTTAGTGCCATCAGCAAGAGTGACAGAGGGTAGGTTATTAGAATAAGAAAGTGAAGTGAAGAGATCTTTATTACCACAAAGATGATGAGTAGCACCTAAGTCTATTATCCAGGGTCCAAGAGATGATTGATAAAACAAGCAACATGATTACCAGTGTCTTGAGTAGGATGCTGAGAAGAAACCTTCTTGAGAAGTGCCTCATAGTCGGCACTTGAAAGAGTTACTAATCCAGTAGAAGGTGGTGTAGCATCAGTTTGAGCAAAGTTGGCAGTCGGTAGCTTCAAATGAGGGTACCTCCTATAGCAGCGTTCTTCAAAATGCCCAAGATTCTGGCAATAATTGCAACGAGGCCTCTGTTTGCGGCCACGTTCGCGACCGCGTCCACTGTTCCAATTGGAATCACTGGCCCGAGAAAAGAATGGAGATGGGGTAGTACTGGAGATGATGCCAGTTATGTTTTTGGATGCATTACTTGAGCCCTCTATCACAAAATAAAATAAAGGAGATGACCAGATCTGAAAATAGGAGAGGAAGGCGAGCTGTTCTGGTTTTTTTTTTTTTTTTGCGTGAACAGTACCACCGTACGGACGTGTGAACAGTACAACTGTACGGACTCGTGAACAGTACCGACGTACAGACGATGTGAACAGTAGATCGTACGCCCCGATGAACAGTGAATCTGTACGGACGCAGTGAAGAGTAACTTTTTTTTTTTTTTTTTTTGTAGAACCAAGCCGGAGGGACGCACGACGTTAGAAGAAGGAGAGAACGCCTAAGCAGTGGGCTTAGGGTTTTAGCGGAAGCGAAAAATTCCCAGAACAAAGAGCTCTGATACCAACTTGAATATAAAATAATATGTTGTGTATTGATCTAATTCAGAGACTTACAATATATAGAGACTCTAATGAGCTTATAGGAAAGGCCCAGACCTAATACAATCAAAATATAATCAGAATAATTACAGACTAATCATATCTAATCATATCTAATCAGACTAATCATATCTAACATAAGCGATGGGCCTATTGTTTTGCATAAGTACAACACCAATTGGTATCAGAGCTCTGATCTAGAAGCTCTGTGGGATGGTCTTGACGTGACAAATGGAACATCGTTTGGAGTTGTTGGAAGAAGGGCTGCACAGAGGAAGTGCTAGACACGAAGAAGTTCTTCTGAGACTTGACGTTAACGAAGCTCGACACGAAGAAGTTCTTCAGAGATTGGGAGCTAATGAAAGGGGGATGGCAGAGATAATCAGGAGGCTAGATGAGATGGCTGGGAGGAGACAGAGCCGTTCTCGCGATGGAGAGAATGATCGAGAGGATAACACTCTAATACCAATTGTTACGGACTTCTACTCAGATTACTAAAATAAGAACAGAAACAAGAGATTTGGTCTGAATAACCTCAATTTTCTTATATATTGATCAAGGACAATTACAGAGACACTGAACAAAACAACCTACAAAGACCATTTGCAGAAAATTAAGGGATTTACACTGAACTGAGAATTAAGAAGCAAGAAAAGAAAAAGATAGTGTGAAGCACATATGAGAGGCTTCACTCTCTCCCAATCCCCAAAGGGCCCAAGCAATTCCATTAAGATTCCAGATTCATCTCCATGCTCCCATCCCTCTGCTTATAACTACCTCCAAGTCACCTCCCAGTGTGCACCATTCTGTTAGGGGGCATTTTGGGAACCCCCTATCTGACGTGGCAGAACTTGTGTGCTATTCACCTGGGTTGTATTCACTTGGGCTATTTGGGCTTGAGTCCTCACCTTCCTATTTTTATCCCTCTTATATTTCTTGATTGGGATTGTATTAGAAGGCTACGTGGGAGACACTAGTATGGGACAAAAGAGGAATTTGGGTTGTGACAACCTCGCCTATGTTGCAAGGAGGGTAGTTTGGAAGGGGAAACTGTAAGAAGCAAGGATAAAATGGACAAAAAGGTGGGGGAAAGGACATTCAGGCATTAAGTGGGTTTTAGAGCCTTTGTCAGGTAGATTGGCAGACTCTCAAAGTTTTGTGGTGTTATATCTTTGGTTTTGTAGTTTTGTGAGTGATTGTGATGTCTATAATTGGGATTTATCCCTTCTATAATACAATACCCTTTTTTTGTCAATTGGTGTTAGAGTTCCCAAGATACTGGGAGTTGTTCACATTTCAATGCAGAATTTTGTGGGGTGGGGTGGGGTATTGGTGGGCACTCTTTTGCTAGACCACCTGGGAAATACGAGTAAGCGGCAGAAGAGGGATTTGGGTTGTAACAACCTTGCCAAGGGGGATAGTAAGGGAAATAATTAGAAGCAAAAATAAAATGGAGAGAAAGGTAGGGGAGAGCATCCTGTCATTGAGCAAGTTTTTGGGTGATAGGACACTCGCGATTGTGGTGTGCTTTAGGAAAGGGCACAGGTGAGCAACAACTCCTTTATTACCTTAGTCAGCAAATCTGTTAAAAGGAAATATTCTAGAAGCTGTTAGGAGAAACCATAGTAGTCAATAGCGGCGCTATTGTGCCGCAAGCCGCGCCAGTTGCGCTTTACGGAGCTTCGCCGCAACCATCCAGGCCGCGCCGCACTAGATCGCAATAGCGGTTGTTGTAGCCGCATTTGCGGCCAAATCTCGCCGCATCATTGTCTTTTTATGGTTTTAACCCTTACCCACTCTCTCTTTTTCTACCTCTCTGTTGTGCGTCTCTCTTCTACCTCTCTTGCTTTTTTTATCGCGCTGGTCTCTTCCCTCTCTACTTCTTTCTTATAGTATTGAAGCTCAATGTGGAAGCCATGAACGAAGAAGCAAAGCTTTGAGTGAGAGAAAGAGTGAGAGAGAGCAGATGACAGAGAAAAGGAGAAAAAGTGAGAGAAATAGTAAGAGAGAGAGAGAGCAGATGAAGGAGAAAAGGAGAAACTGTGAGAGAAGAACGGATAAAGAGAAAAAGAGAGAAGGTGAGAGAGAAAGAGATTCTGATCTATCTTTATTCAAAGAAAAGAAAAGTACATTTGTTAGAAAAAGTGATTCACTAGTCGTGGTAACCAAGTAACCTGGTTATAGTAACATTGGGTAAAACTATTTTTATATACCAAAAAAAAGAAGAAAAAAAAGAATGCATCATTAAAAGGTAACTAAGGTAAAACACTAAAGTAACTAAGATAAATCTAGTAAATCAGTAAAGTATAGTTACAACTAAAGGTAGTACAACTATAGCTAAAGTTTGTACACTTATTACTAAGAGATAACATGTCAACTCTGCCTTTATTTTAATTTTTTATTATTATTTATCTTTATATTTTTTTTATTATTTGTATTTTTTTTAGGTGTTATTTTTTTAATAATTTAATTATGTCACACGCACACACGGCACACACACTGCAACCCGCAATATAGCGGTTTTGAGGGTTGGCCGCATCAGGCCGCAACACACACACAATTTGTTTTTTTAATAAATATATTTTTTCTGCTATTTCCGCAACCGCGACCCGCAATAACAATATAGCGGTTTTGAGGGTTTTTTTCTGCTATTTCCGCAACCGCAACCCGCAATAACAATATAGCGGTTTTGAGGGTTGGCCGCAACCTGCATTTGATAACTATGGGAGAAACATTGTGTAACAATGCACATGGGCATATGAGGTTAAACAGAGAATTGCAAGAAGGATAATCAGGCTTTTGGTAGGATTGAGATTGGGAATTTGGGAGAGAATAGCCTCTTGAATGCTACTGAGTTTTATCCATTTCTTTTCTGCAATTTAATCTGTAGCACATTTCCCTAATTTTCCTCTACTTTGTAATTTCCTTCATTATGTATTGTTACTTGTTCCGACCCCAATTAATTTGGGATAAAGGTGATGTTTATGCTGATGTTAATGTATTGTTACTTGTTACTTACTAGAATCAGTTCAGAGAAATAGAAATTCAATGTTCTAGTTCCAATATTTCTCTCATTGTTTCTGGTACCTAACATAGGGTCTTTGGGCAAGGAGGTTTGCATAACTTCGAAATTCTTGTTTGTTTGTTTGTTATTTTTTTTTTTTTTTTTGTGACTGATTCTGATCTCTGAAATAAGGTTTAGCTCCATTTCTCTGCAATAAAATATCTATCCTATCAGAAACCAAGAAAGGAAAAAGTGTATATCTTGACATAATGGTATGATCTAGATGTTTATTAATTTTTGGTTGAAAATGTGTTTATTTTGCCTGAAATGCAGGGTGATACTCTTCAAAGATGGCGGACTGAACCTTTTATCATGATAACAGGCAGTGGAAGGTACTCTACTCATTGTTTTCTTTTTGGGTGAGGATTTGGATTGTTGGTTATTGCCAAAAAACTTAGAAAAAAATGAAAAGAGAGTATTGGTGTTTTTTTAATTTTAATATTGTCTCTGGATATGAGCTAGACAAATATTTTTTGTTTTTCTAGATGGATTCCTCCCCCATTACCAACAACAAAAAGTCCAGAACATGAAAAGGAGTCTGGTTCCACACATGCTGGAGGGCGAAGCAGGGTACTTTATTGTTGTATTTTCAATTATGATGAATACAATTTTTCAATACTGTCTCTCATCATCTACTCACTTTTATGATTTTCCTTGTTTTGATTGAATATTGCAGCGTGTAGAGCCTGAAAGAACACTGACTGATGCACAGAGGGATGAGTTTGAGGATATGCTGCGTGCTTTAACATTAGAGAGGAGCCAGATAAAAGAGGCTATGGGTTTTTCGTTAGACAATGCTGATGCAGCTGGCGAGGTAGTAGTGCTACCGGAATTCCCTCAGTATAATTGACATTGCTGGTTTACAGTCAACATAAATTATCTTCAGCATACTTATCCATTAGAAGGCCTGTTCACAGTTTAGCCCATTTGAATACATTTGTCCATCATTACTTCATTCCAACAAGCCTAGGTCTAGGCCTAACTTTTGGGTAGGCGGCTCATACACAAACCCAAGAATTGGGCCTAGGCAACCTTATGGCCACCATAACTGGGCTTTGTTAGAGAATAATATACACCATTAAAAATGCCCTCACTCAACACCTTAAGGTTTTGAGTTAAAGTGGTTCTTCACATAGTATCAGAGCTTCAGTGATCACAAGGTCACGAATTCGATCCTCATTGCCCCCCACTTTCAAGTGGAATTGAATAAGCACAAGGTAAACCAAAAATTGGGCCTATGTATAGCCATGCTTCTAGTCCAAAGGGTTATTGCGTAAGGGGATGTGTTAGAAAATAATATAAACCATTAAAAATGCTCTTACTCAACACCTTAAGGTTTTGGGTTGAAGTAGTTCTTTACAGGCTTGACCTGGTGTATCTAAACCTCAGTAATCCATCCATTTACACAATGTTGTACGATAATAAAAGAAACTAATTTTATTTTGAATTGATCTTTGCTTAAGTTTGTAAATAATATGCTACATTCTCTCAAGGTTTCTCCTCAGCTTTGAAAAAATTATTAGATTTGAAGCCTGGGTACTTGAATTTAATAATATTGAATTGTAATATTGAATTGTATAAAATCTGTACAAGAGCTCTCTATATAAGGAGTACTGAAAGACCTAATGGGCTAAGCCCAAAATATACTTCTAGAGTATTCTAGCTATTACAAATAAATAAATAAATACTAATTCTAATATTTACAACACTCCTCCTCAAGCTGGGGAATAGATATTTATCATTCCCAGCTTGCTAGTAAGCTCTTGAAACCTATCATTAGGGAGACCTTTAGTCAAGACATCAGCCAATTGACGACCAGAAGGGATATATGGAGTAGTAATCAGGCCACTATTGAGTTTCTCTTCGATGAAGTGGCGATCAATTTCAATATGTTTGGTTCGATCGTGTTGGACTGGATTGTGGGCTATGCAGATGGCTGACTTGTTATCACAGAGTAACTTCTTAGATCCTTCATATCTCACCTTGAGATCATCCAGAATAATTTTCAACCATAACAACTCACATATCCCTTGAGCCATGGCCCGAAATTCTGCTTCTGCACTTGATCTAGCAACCACATTTTGCTTTTTACTTCTCCATGTTATTAAATTTCCACAGAGAAACATACAATAGCCCGAAGTAGATCGTTTGTCAATCACAGACCCAACATAATCGGCATCTGTATAGACCTCTAAGGAGAGGTTTCCTCCTCTCTGGAACAATAGTCCTCTGCCTGGTGTGCCTTTTAGGTATTGGAGAATCTTGTCCACATTGGATCATGCATGAATTGACTAACAACACTCACTGCATAAGCTAGATCAGGTCTAGTATGAGCTAGATATATCAATCTTCCCACTATTCGTTGATACTGTCCTTTGTCCACTGGAGGGTTCTCATTTTCACTCCCTAGTTTGTGATTCTGCTCAATCGGAGTACTGGAAGGTTTGCACCCGAGTTTTCCTGTTTCTTTAAGAAGGTCAAGAATGTACTTTCTTTGACAAATAAAAATGCCTTGTTTTGAATGAGCAACTTCTATCCCAAGAAAATATCTCAGATTGCCAAGATCTTTAATTTCAAATTCAGCCGTCAGTCTTTTCCTCAAAGCACATTTCTCATCTATATCATCTCCTTTTATGATCATATCATCAACATAAACTAGAAGGATAGTGGTCTTACTTTCTTGAGAATGTTTAAAGAAAAGGGTATGATCTCCTTGACTTTGCTTGTATCCCATTGAAAGCATAACTTTGGTAAATCTTCCAAACCAAGCACGCGGGGATTGTTTCAAGCCGTACAACGCCTTCTTCAGTCTGCAAACTTTATTATCTCCATTTGTAGAGTTAAATCCTGGTGGGATCTCCATGTAAACTTCTTCTTCTACCAATCTCCTTTCTACTCATAAGCTTACTACAGATTTGAATTGCACTGTAACCTTTTTTCCCTACTCATTGTGTTTTTCAGGATCTCACCACGGGGAAGACGATTGGAGTTGCTAAAGAGCAGGATGGGTTGTACTATCTGGTTCCAGACTTTGCTGCAAAAGATACCAAGGATCAGACTTTGATGACTCGTCAGTCTACTTCAGATTCATGAAATTTGGCTTTATCACAAACGCTTGGGTCATCCTCCTTTTAGTTTACTTAAGTCTATGTTTCCGTCTTTGTTTTTGTCTCAGTCTGTTGAGTCTTTTCATTGTGATGTCTGTCAGTTTGCAAAACATCATCGTGTATCTTTTCCTTCTAGTGAAATTAAAAGTATTGAACCATTTACTATTATTCACTCTGATGTTTGGGCCCTTCCAAAGTCCCTAATGTTTCTGGTGCTAAATGGTTTGTCTCTTTTATTGATGATTATACTCGGATAACATGGATATTTTTGATGAAAGATAAGGCAGAAATGACACAGTTGTTTATTCAGTTTTATCATATGATTGAAACCCAATTTGGTAAAAGTATCAAACGCTTGAGGTCAGATAATGGTACCGAATATGTTAATCAGCGTCTTTCCCAGTTTATTCGAGACAAAGGAATGACTCATGAACTCACATGTGTAGATACCCCTCAACAAAATGGGGTTGCTGAAAGGAAAAATCGGCATTTACTTGAAATTACTAGAGCATTGTTGTTTCAGACATCTGTACCCAACTCCTACTGGGGAGAAGCTGTATTAACTGCAGCCTATTTGATCAACCGTTTACCCTCCCGGGTCCTTGGCCATGTAAGTCCTGTTGATCTCATGACTTCTTTCTTTCCTTCTGTTCCTATTATGCAGAGTCTCCAGTCTCGTGTCTTTGGGTATGTTGCCTTTGTCCATGTCCATAAACAGCATCAGAGTAAATTAGAACCTAGAGCACTTAAGTTTGTCTTCCTTGGCTATACTCCTAACAAAAAAGGATACAAATGTTACCATCCTCCAAGTCGTAAATTCTTTGTCTCTATGGATGTTAGCTTTCATGAATCTGAGTCCTACTTTCATGAATCTGAAGTAGACTGACGAGTCATCAAAGTCTGATCCTTGGTATCTTCTGCAGGAAAGTCTGGAACCAGATAGTACAACCCATCCTGCTCTTTAGCAACTCCAATCGTCTTCCCCGTGGTAAGATCCTGAAAAACACAATGAGTAGGGAAAAAGGTTACAGTGCAATTCAAATCTGTAGTAAGCTTATGAGTAGAAAGGAGATTGGTAGAAAGTTGAGGAACATGGAGAGCATTCTTGAGACACAAGGAGGGTTGGATTTTAATGTTACCAGAACCTGCAACTGATGTATGTGATCTATCAGCTACAGCTATAGTACGGATACCAATAGTAGGATTATAAGACAGAAAAGGGTCAGTGCAGCAAGTCATATGATCAATAGCACCAGAATCCACAATCCATGAAGTTTTGAAATCAGTACAAGAAGCAACAAAAGAATGAGTGCATGAGTTCTTACCAGTCATGGCCAAAGAACCAGTACCAGAAGGCTTATTGACAGTTTCAAATACGGACCTAAGCCGTTCCAATTCCTCACGACGAACAGTAGTAAACTCACCGTGCATCTGTGAAGTCTGTGAGGTCTCATTAACATGAGAGATGTCTGAGGGGGCAAAGAAAGACTGACCACGTGGGGTTGACTTACTGAACTTCTCCTGAACCTGTTGCTTTCCATGAAGACGGTAACAAACCTCCTTTGTGTGACCTGGTCTTTTACAATAGTTACACCAACGTCCCTCTTTACTAGGCTTAGGAGGAAAAAACCTTGGTGATGGCTTAGCTGAGACCATAGTAGACCCGTCAGTGGGTTCAGAATCAGAAGGAGTTGGAGCAGTAACTTTAGATGAGAGCATAATGGATCCTTCAGACACTTTGGTATCCATCATGACAGTCCTGCGATTTTCTTCACCCCTGACAATGTGAAAAACTTCAGAAAGAGACGGTAATTTTTCTTTACCAAGAATTTGAACTCGAATAGGGTCATATTCTGAGTTGAGACCACAAAGGAAATCATAGATCCTATGGCGTTCAATGGAGGTGGTCAGAGTGGCTGCATCCTTGCTACATTCCATCTTCAAATTCTCCTACTGATCAAGCTCAGTCCATAACTTATTCATAATACCATAGTATTCTGTTATAGAGAGAGAGCCTTACTTGGTAGAAAAAATCCGATTCCTCGGATCATAACAAGTGGTAGCATTTTGCTTCATTGAGTACGTCTTTCTGAGAATATCCCAGATCTCAAGAGCGGTAGGTAAGAACATGCAATGTTGACTAACCTCAGGAGTCATAGAGTTCCATAACCATGTCATAATAAGAGAGTCTTCATCATCCCAGTCAGCAAATTTTGGATCTGTTTTGGCAGAAACAGGTCCTTCAAGATGAGTAATTTTACGACGCCCTTTAAGGATAGTACGAACAAGTTGAGACCATTGCAAATAATTCTTCCCATTAAGAAAATAATTCTGATGAAGAGGAGGAAGGTCGGTTGGAGAAAGCATAACCATCGAGCTAGCCATCGACCGTGTACCACCATCGAGCTTCGGGGGTGGTGTATTTTCAACGTTTGACATAATAAGGACTGAGAATAAGAGAACCACAAAAAAAAAAGCGAACAAAACCACCAAAAACAGCGAACCAAACCAGTGAACAGTGAACCAAACCAGTGAACAGTAATAAAACTAGTGAACAGTAATAAAAACCACTGTAAAATGATCCTAACCAAGTCGAAATTCCACGAAAGCCACAGATCCAGATGCGCAAGAAGGAGACGAGCTGAGCACAGGTGGTCCAAGGTGAACCCCCACCGTCACGCGCTCTCACGCGCCGGAGAACTCCTCGGCGCGTGGGTGTCACGCGCAGAAGAAGGAAACGCGCGTGGCTGGTCTGCCGGAGCTGGGCTTTTCCGGTGGTGATCGCCCGGAGGTTGCGCTCCTTTCTGTTGATGGTTGGAGTCCAAAAGGTCACTGTAGCTATGTGTAACAGTGAAAACAGGTCCGGTTTGCCTGTTTGTATGGCTGTGTGGTGACGTCGTTGACTAAAAAAGGTAGATAAAGGATAGATCAGAGGAATAGAAGTCCAATAAAGGTCCTCTCGGTCCAAAAATGTCACTGGAAAATTTTTCCGATGACTGGCGGCGGCGAGAGGCAAACAGAAAAAAAGGTTTCTACCCTAATAGCGGCAATTGCGGAAGCAGAGCCCTCAGAATCGAGAGCTCTGATACCAACTTGAATTTAATAATATTGAATTGTATAAAATCTGTACAAGAGCTCTCTATATAAAGAGTACTGAAAGACCTAATGGGCTAAGCCCAAAATATACTTCTAGAGTATTCTAGCTATTACAAATAAATAAATAAATACTAATTCTAATATTTACAACATGGGTTTTGCCAAAGGCTTGGGTCATGGCCTGACCTTGATTGATGAGCCTAACTGATGCAAAATCTTCACACCTCAGCAATTGTAATCATGCAAGGTGATGTTCGTCACTGCACAGTACCTACAAACGTTAACTTTGGATGCACAGTACCGTGAACAGTAACTGTGGCATTCAGTAGGATAATTGTGCCTGGTTTAGAGAAATGAGATAAAAAAATGATTCGAAGTTGAATTTGCAGATGATAGAATAAAATACAAGAAGTAAAAGAAGCCTAGGCTATCACATGTAGGCTTATTGGGCATTATACCCAAGAGGCACACGGCACGTATAGATGTTAGTATTTCTTTGGAAATAAACTCCATTGTTTTGGTTCAGTGCTGGATACATGTTATGTACAGGACTAGTCATGATTTGTAGCCCAAGTAGCTCAAGGCCCAAGTTTAAAACCAGCTGCAAATGATAAAATAACAGTCCACTAGTCTAATCCTGTAGAGTAAACCATCATAAAATGACTTAGCAAGATCAGCTATACCATCTTGCCAAAATATGATATTAGTATTTGAGTTTGGTTCCCCCAGCTCCTACAGTATTTGTTTCGCTCAAACACCTATAGCTGACATGCGTTTTGCCTGAGAATCCATTGACTATATTTCCATGTAAAGTATTGTTTCCTGATTGTTCGTGTTGTTTTGCGTATACTGGACTGTAAAGTGCATCTGGACATGGTATTTTGTATAGAAATCATGGACAACGAAGATTTTTATGCTGTAGCTTGGGCTATCCCTAAGATAAGAGATTAACTTGGGGCTAATGTGTTTTTGATTGGGGTAACTTGGTTTCCTAGTAGATGAAGAAGCCAAGAAATAAGGGTTACCTTCTAAGGTCCTTTTCTCTCCATTTTTTATTAATAGAACAAGATCAAGTACTTTGTGTAAGTGTAATACATACAAGCCATGCGTATATTAATAAACCTAATACAGTTTTGGAATGCCATGTATGCATTATTAACCATATAAATTAAGCAAAGCTTTTATGAATAAAATGGATTATCTGAATTCAGAAACAGCAGAATTGGTCACAGAATTGTCCGAAGTTGATATTGTTCTCATGCTATCATTTAATATTTTCATCTTCCTGAATTATCTTTCATTTTGTGTTTTTTGGAGGAGACTTCATTTATTATATGCCTAATCTTTTCTTAACTGCAGATAGTTGAAGTTTTGACTGAATCCTTGACACTTAGAGAAACCCCTATTCCAACTAAAATTGCAAGGCTTATGCTTGTCTCCGATATTCTTCATAATAGTAGTGCTCCTGTAAGAAATGCATCAGCATATCGAACCAAGTTCGAAGCAACATTACCGGACATAATGGAGAGTTTTAATGACTTGTATCGTAGCATAATGGGGCGTATTACTGCTGAAGCCCTAAAGGTTGGCTGAGCAATCATAGACTGCCTTGATTTAATTTCATATTATTCTTTCTTGCTCTGTTTGTGATCTTTGTCTGAAATGTTACAGGAACGAGTACTGAAAGTCTTGCAAGTGTGGGCCGACTGGTTTCTCTTTTCAGATGCTTATGTGAATGGCTTAAGAGCCACATTCCTTCGATCTGGGAACTCTGGGGTAACACCATTCCATTCCTTATGTGGTGATGTACCTGAGATTGAGCAGAAGATCACTTCCGAAGATACAGTTGTTGGTGGCAAGACCAACCAAGATGCTGCATTGGCAATGGGTCGAGGAGCTGCAACGAAGGAGTTAATGAATCTTCCTCTTGCTGAGCTCGAAAGACGGTGCCGACACAATGGATTATCACTTGTTGGTGGTAGAGAAACGATGGTTGCAAGGTTGCTAAGTCTTGAAGAGGCAGAAAAGCAAAGAGGTTATGAACTAGATGATGAATTGAAATATTCCCACAACCATGCAAGTTCAGGGAAATATTTAGGTAGTCAGCAAGAAACAAGTGCCGAGCCTGAACCAGTGGGACTGTCTGGGTGGAACCACTATGGGGATGAAGATTTGCAGTCACAAGGCAAAGGGTCTGCACCTTTAGTGCCAGCCCTTCCCATTCCACAGGCTGAACTTAAAGCCTTCACCAAAAAGGAGAAGAATGAACCAGTTTTGCCAGCCTCTAAATGGGCTCGAGATGATGATGAGAGTGACGATGAGCAAAGAAGAAGTGGAAAAAATCTCGGGTTAAGCTACTCATCTTCTGGTAGTGAGAATGTGGGTGATGGTCTTATTAAAGCTGATGAATCAGAGTGTGCTGCTGATACAAGTTTTTTAGCTCATGCTGACAGTGGAATGAATGAAGAGCAGAGGTTGCCATTATATTTTGTCTTAATTACTGTCCCTTTCGTTTTTTCAATAGTTGATAGTATTACTAGTAAGTTGTCTACGGAACTGATCATGTCTTTTTTATTCTGCCAGCATATGCTCCCTTTTGATTTTTCTTTGTTTCCTTTTATATTTGATAGTGGTTTTAAATTTCTTTGACCAAAAGCTATTCAAATGTATGTCAAAGTTTTTTTTTTTTTTTTTTTTTCAGTATTAGGTTTTTGTTTAAATTATATTTATGGGAAAAGTGTATGTCAATTAAATGACACAACTTTGTGTCATTTTAGATGAAGCGACATCGTTTTGATATATAATTGGTGATTTTTTACATTCTTTATGCTCCACTTTCTCTCTCTTCCTAATTTTTTGGAAGAGAGAGAATATAAAAAATTATCAAAACTACGTCGTTTCATCTAAAATGACACAAAGTTATGTCATTTAAAATGACAAACATTTTTTCCCGATATTTGATGCTTATGGAGCTTAGGATGGACTGTTATACAGGCAAAAGTTGAGACGCTTGGAGGTTGCTTTAATTGAATATCGCGAGTCTCTTGAAGAAAGGGGAATTAAAAATTTGGAAGAAATTGAGAAGAAAGTTGCAACACACCGGAAAAGGCTGCAAGTGGAGTATGGATTATCAGACTATGGTGAAGATGGTCAAGGCAATAGTAAGTTCTTTCTATCCATCTTTCTATTATAAAAGTCAAACAGAAGCAATTGACTTAATTATCCAACAGACAATTGTCTAGCAAATTAAATAACAGTAACAGTCCTATCATCTGCGTATTCTGCAATCCTGTTAAAACAAAATTATCATTGCCTATTTGACCTCAGTAACTTGCTGCAATCGCCTATTTGACCTCAAGGGGCATGAACTGAAAATCTGCAATGTATCTTGGCATGAATCATGTAATATGATGATGCAAACTTTTTATACATTTCCAATTTTAATTCCTTCTGCCACCCCTTCCATTTTCACCTTTTCCTTCCATTTTCACCTTTTCCAACCATGCTTCTACCAACATCTTGCAAATTTTTTGTTAAAATGCGAAATTATATCTGTGTTGATTCAACTTATTATTCTGGTTACTTTATAATATTGCAGGAAGAACATCTTCAGAGAGGAGGGATAGGCTCGATGTGTCAAGGAAACGGCACCGTAGCCGTAGTCGAAGCAGTAGTCCACAACCGAAGTCATCAGGCAAAGACAGAGATAGAGAACATGATTTAGAAAGGGAACGAGAGAGGCAAAGAGATAGAAGTTATGATTTGGATAGTGATAGAGGAAAGGACAGGCTCCGGGAAAAGAGTGGAAGCAGAGAAAGGGATGATCACGATAGGGAGAGGGGCAGGGACAGGGACAGGAGAAGACGAACCAAATAAGAAAAAGATTGGACAGTGCTCTATCAGTTACTTTAATGATTTGCAGATTGGTTTGTAACAAGAGTCGGGACAGTTGGCTTTTTGTTACTTTAATGATCTTGGCAGTGTGATACCTGGTGGAAGGTAGGAATGAAACGTCTGCCAGAAAATTGTTGTTACTATAGACAATCTTAGAAAATGATCAATAGAATCTAGCTCTTGAAACCCCATAATTCTACTTATATGTAATTTCACGACTTTTAATCTCGTTAATTTTGTCAGTGAATTAGTGCATGTTGCCGCATATTGCAATTTTAATCAAGTGGGTTCTGTCCATGTATTTTTGGTTAGTTAACAGGAAGATTTGACTAACATTTTCCAAGTTACGAACTATAGTGATTGTACACTCTTAACGTCAATGGCTGCCCTCTTCACACATTCCATGATAGCCTCACTTGTCGGAGCACAATGCCAGTAAATCCCCTTGTAACAGTGATACCATCAGAGCTCTTGCTTGGTTACAATTCCACACATGATGTTGCATATCAATGTTGGCATTGACTCGCATTTTCTTGGTGGGAACATCAAAATCAGGAGTCACCATTCACCAACATGAAAAAAACAAGTCTTGGTTGATGGGGAACATCAACTGGATCAGTCTAATGGCTAGCCCAAAATGATGGCTGGTCCCACGTTGTTTGCCTGATAAAAAGGAAAGCTCTTCGAATTTTAAGGAATCGGTAACAGGGTGAACGTCAAGTAGAGGGTGAACGAATGAAGCATGGGAGAATAAAAGAATCAAGATTTTTAATAGTTTTTTTTTTTTTTTTTTTTTGTGGACAAAAAATTTGCCTCCTAATTTAATGAATAACATAAATTAAGGGAGTGTATTGAATTAAGATTTTAATAGACCATTTTGGAATAAAGGATAATATAGATTTTAAAAAATTATTTACAAATGCAATCACTTCATAGATATTTTTAGTTGTTTTTATAATTAAAAATTTATAAAAATTAGAATTTAAAGAATTTATTCTTAGAATTTATAAGATTTGAAAGCACTATCAATTCATAAGATTTTAAAAAATTATATAAATTTTTAGCAAATATTTAAAGTTATAAGAGTAAATAAAAAAATATAGTAAAAAATGCAATGATATTGAAAAAAGAGTAAAATTTAATAAATTTTTACAGTTATACGGTTTGAGCACACAAACAGCAAAAGTGCAAGATGGAAGCGAAGAGTATGCACACACTTAAGAATCCCAAGTTAGACCATGATTTCAAAACTCTCAATCAACCTTACATAATTGGCACATGGCCTACCAAGTATAAGCTTCACATGATTCATACTTGCATTGGATAGGGTACATACATGCTACATAGCCATTGACATTACAGAACAGACATAGACCTAAATGGTACAAATGAATCACAGTTACATTTCCAACATACGAGATGTCGCAGGTACTAACTTCCCATTCCCACAAAACAATCAGCCCCAAGTCACAAATTGTTCGAGTCAATGACTTTACGCCATTAATACAAGACCAAGTCATAAATTAAGTCGATATAAGATAAGGCAGTCAATTAACACAACAGCTCTTACTGAGAATCACTCTCAATTATGCTTAGGTCCATTTTCTTGCACACTAGTACCTGCAATATAAATCCCATAAAAGGCTGAGAAGAAATCTCAATAAGTCTATGATGTGAACAATTTAGTGAGACCCAAGACCAATTTAGTTAGGATCATCTCTATAATCAGGAATTTAAACAAGAAATAAAGAACATTGACCTGTTATCTATAGAATATAAGAACCAAAGGAATTAAGAAGGATAAAGACGCCACACTCAAGAAAGAAGGTGAATGATAAGTCTGGTTTGAACGCCACAAGAACAAGCTTCTTGATAAGTTCAGAGTATAGATAAGAACCAAAGAGAAGAAACCTCTCTATTAATATTATTACTTCCAAGGAGACAACACCCAATGATCCATTACAATTACCAAATAGGCCAATCACAAGGTCAAGGGCCAAGAAGTTGAAAGAAGCTCTTAGTTGGTTGACCCAGCAAATGTGGGCTAATCATGAAGACATCAAGTCCAAATTTATTTATAATCAGAATTTAGTTAATGTTATCAATGTAAGGGAGGTTGAGTGGAATAATTAGCAATTTTCAATGTCATTAATGCTTAGTGGGGCTGATAGCATTTTCAATGTTATTAATGCTTAGTGGGGTTGATTAACATTTTCAATGTCATTAATGTTTAGTGGGTTGATTAGAGTCTTTTCATTTTTTCAAGTTGTCAACTTTAAATTAGTGTTTTTTCATTTGTTAGTATTTTCCTAATCTTGGAGGGAGTTTAAATTAGCATTTTTTTTCATTTGTTAGTATCTTCCGATTATTGGAGGGATGTTCCAAGTATAAATAAGGAACGATACAACTCTTGTAATCAGACTTTGAAGTTATAATATAATAAAGAGGTTTCTTCTCTTTGGTTCTTATCTAGAACTCTGAACTTATCAAAAGTCTTATTCTTGTGGCGTTCAAAACAGACTTATCACTCACCTTCTTTCTTGAGCGTGACTTCTTTATCCTTCTTATACCTTTGGTTCTTATCTTTCATAGATAACGGGTCAAGGTTCTTTATTTCTTGTTTTAAATTCCTGATTGTAGAAACGATCCCAATTAAATTGGTCTTGGGTCTCACTATTCTTGGTGAGGTTCACATCATTTGGTATCAAAGCTAGTCTTCTAAATCAGGTTTGATCTATCCTTATTTTATTGTTAACCTTTTTTTATTTCATTCTCCTTCTTGTGTCAACTACTTCCATTACTATTGTTCAAAATAAAGAAAAAAAAGAATCTTAGTATCTCGAGAAAAAAGAAGAAGAAAAAAATATGATCCAAATTCTTTGAGGTAAAACTTGTCTCTTTGAATTCTTTTTCAGTTTTTTCTTTTCTTTTCCAGTGTGTACTTCTCTTCTTACTTAATTACAGTTATTAGTGCTTAAATTTATTGTCATTCCAACCTCTCTTTACCCCTAATTCTTGACATAATAAAATATTCTCTTGTTCTTCTTGTCTCTTTGTATTACATCTTGTGATCTGTTTAGATTTCTTCAAGAAAACTTAAATTTAGTTCAACTAAGTGTGAAACCAATGCACTTAAAATGAAGAGTTCATTTATACAAGAGTTTTGATGATAACAAACAAGCTTAGAAGCGACATCAAAGATAATATAACTCGCAACAATCAAAAGTCCAAGGAAGCAATTCAACAAGACAACAAGAGCAAATCATTCAACACACAAGATCAACATTGCAACATGTTCTTGAGAGCTTAGATCTAAATGTAAAGGTAATTGATTAATGATGCATAAATGAGCTCAGAGGATATATAATTTTATGCATGCATTATCCATGTCATCAATCATTTGAAAGCCTCAAGTTTTATGTAAAAGACCCTTGACATATTTCGTAACCTCAACATTTTCTACAAGTCAATGAAATACATTAAAAGTGATTAGAGACAAAAAGGAATGCATTGTAACTCATAAAACTGCATTATTGATGTTCTGTCAAGAAAGTATTCGAATACTTTCTTGACTGTATTCGAATACTTGTGCTGAGAACAAAGTATTCGAATACCTTAAGAAAAGTATTCGAATACTTCACGAAAAGTATTCGAATACTTACTGGACAGTAAGCAGTGTAACGGCTATAAACGACTAGTTTCGTCCCAACACCTATATAAACTCATCTATTACGAACCAGGAAGCCAAGTTTTACTGTTCCATTGATTTTGCAATCATCTTTGATCATTCTCATTGAATTAAAATCATTGATTGCTTATTCTTACTCATTTTGATCATAAAACTCCTTTGAGCTTTATTCTTGTGTCATTGATCAATACTCATAAGCTTCAACTTGTATAATCTGTTCTTCAAGAGTATAAATAAATTTCTAAACACTCTAATTTTGTTTATTTGAGTTGAGGGTAGTGAGACCCTAGTGTAAAGGTTGCTCTTAGCCTAAGAAAGTGAGTGGAAGTGTAAGGGTTTCAAGAACCAAAAGTCTTGAAGGTTGTAGTGGTTTGTCAAGCACCCTTGAAGCTTGATCATTAGTGGAAAGTTGAACGAGCGGCTTCAATCTAGACGTAGGTCACGGTGGCGGTGACTGAACCAGGATATATAGTGTTTGCAATCTCTCTAACCCTTTATCTCGTTACATTAGCATTATTTGATTACTTGAGCTTGTTTAGATTTACACTTTGCATATTATTTGCTTGTATTGATTTCTATTCTCTTAGCCTTGCTTGTGTATAAATCATATTAATTCAAGAAAATATTTTTCAAGAAAGAAAGTGAGGCATTTTCCAAAAATATTTTTAAAACTCAATTCACCCCCCTTTTTGAGTTTGAGGCCACTTGTCCAACAAGTGGTATCAGAGCTTGGACTCTTGTATAAAGAGCTTAACCGCTTCAAGAGTAAAGATGGCCTCTTTGAACAATGATATGCCTCTTGAGGGAACTTCAACCACAAGACCTCCTTTCTTTAATGGCACCGATTATGCTTATTGAAAAAGTAGAATGCAAATTTTTCTTTAGTCAATTGATTTAAGAATTTGGAACATTGTTGATGAGGGATATCAAGTTCCCACTAAAAAGGATGAAAGCAACAACGATGTTCCAAAGAAAGTAAAGGAATTTTTGGAAGAAGAAATTAAAGAAGCAAATTGGAATGCTAAGGCTAGAAATTTGATTACCAATACTTTAGGTAGAGATGAATATTTTCGTGTAGCTTCTTGCAAAACCGCAAAAGAAATGTGGGATGTGCTTGAAGTAACACATGAAGAAACTAGTGAAGTTAAAGTCTCTAAAATTTTTAGATTGACTAGAGAATTTGAATTATTTGAAACGAATGATGGTGAAACTATTCAAAACATGCAAAAGAGATTTACTCAAATCATTAGGAGCTTCATACAATAATTTTCAATTGGTAACTAAAGTTTTGAGAAGCTTGAATAGGGAATGGCAACCTAAGGTGACGGCTATTTGTGAATCAAAAGACTTGAAGAATATGTCAATTGCTACACTCTTTGAGAAGCTCCAAGAGCATGAGTTAGAATTGGCAAGACTAACTTTGAAGGTGCAAGCCAAGAAGAAAAGCAAAGGACTAGCTTTGCAAGCCACTAGCTCCAAATCTCAAGTGGAGGAGGAAAAAGAAAAAGAGCTCTCCGATGATGAATTAGATGAAGATGAAATGAGCTTCTTCGTGAAAAAGTATGGAAAGTTCTTCAAGAAGAAGAATTTTCAAAGAAGACC